TTTTTTTTTTTTTTTATATCATCCGATGTAAGTAAGATTCACACAGATATATTACTCAACACATACTATTCTTTTGTTTGCTCAGTTCAGTGTTCTTTGTCCTTTCCTTGGTCTAACCTTGGGGAAAGATGGCCAAACACACAATTTCATTCGTACATGCGCGGTAGGAGCATTCATGCATTGACCATAAAAAGATACCGAGACCACCGTGTGATGTGGTTCAATTGGATACTAATCGAACTTTTCACATTGCGGTTAGAGGTTCGAGTTTTGAAGTTTATATTGAAGCTCAGTGATTAACCGCCGCTAACCTAACTAAGTTCGTTTTCGAGAGGAATAACGGGTCTGATCAGATATCTCGTAATCTCATCAGTGAGAGTCTATCAGGATGGTGTCTAGGCACTTTTTTTGGCCCCCACCCTTTTTTCTACCGGCTAAAAAAAGAAAAGGATACCCATGGATTTGATTTGAATGGTGCATGGCTTGCAAAGAAGATAGGAACCAGTTATCTGATTATCATAGACGTACTTGTTTTTGTTTCGCTGTTATAAACCTTAAATGAGTAGGATAAAGTAGAGGTGGGTGTCATTTTTATATTAATATGGGTGTCGGTAAAAAGTTATTTAATTTATCACCGGTCAAAAAGCATACAAATGAATAAAGTGAACTCCACTGAATTTACATGAGTAAGGTATTTGCCACAGATAAAGAGTAATGTTATTTGAACTTAAAATTCTAACATAATTTGTTGACCTAATGATATGGTTTAATTGAAATCATTAGATTAACACTGAATTTTAATGTTTGATGAAATCCACAATCAATCCAAAGGTCATACTGAATTAAGTCAGTAAATTATACTATTAAATTATGTCTCAATAGCATTACTCATAGATAAATGAACTAAAAAAATTAAAATTAAAAAAGTTTTTGAACTGTTTGAAGTGTTTCTAAAAAAAACTAGCTTTTCATTGGAAGCTCTTGAATAAATCCCATTTTTTAGCTTTTTGTTGGTGTTGATAAAAATTATTTTTATCCAAAAAACTAAAAAAAAAGTTGCTCAATAAGCACGACTCTAAATGACCCAGACTTCTTTTCCTCTGAAATTAAAAAAAAAAAAAAAATTGATGTTTTAAGCCAATTCTAAATATGCTCAATAACACCATATGATGTAATGTGACCGTTGGATTGGATATTTTCTCTATAAAAAGATGGATCCAGATTTGACCCTTGGAATTAAAGTGTTTAGGGGCTTGCCGCTCCACTCCCTTGCTGATATCTGGCTTAATTGAAACCAGAGAATAACCAGGCAAGTAACTCCACTCTTTTTTGTGTGAAGTTACTCCATTATTTCACCTCTCAAGGGGACACTAAACAATCTAAAAGGTTGAGTTTCTTCAGCATTATTAATTCATCAAAACGAGCTTATAGTCTAACTTTGTTACGTAAGTTCAAAATACGTGTAATTCACAAACATATTCCCGAGTAC